GAGGACGAGATGGCCTCATGGCTTCACTACCCACTCGATGACTCCTCCTCCTTCGAACGTGATCTTTACGCCGATCTCCTTTATTCCACACCGAGCGCAACCGTTACAACCGCTGCGCCGCCGCGAGAAATCCGTACGCCCACGGTGGAGATCCGTCCACCTCCGCCGCAACCATCCCCTGCAGCGCCGATTGCAGTGGCTTCTCGACCGCCTATACCTCCTCCTGCTAGACGTCCCGGCACTGAAAGCTGACATCGGTTCCAGAACTTCGGACACTTCTCGCGATTGCCTAGTCGAACAAGGTCAGAACTTGGTCCGTCAAATTCGAGCAAGTCACCTAGAGAATCAACGGTCGTGGAATCAAACGAAACTCCAATTTCAGGGCCTGAATCTAGGGTTTCATACGTAGCGGATAATGTAGTACCGGTTCCCGGCGGAAATGTAGGATGTGGAGCTGTAAATGTCAACGGAACTGCGACTGCGTCAGCGGCAATTAGGGAACCGGCGGCGACATGTGAGCTTTCGGTGACGTCATCTCCCGGCTCAGGAAACAGTATAAACACCAGCGCTGAACCACCGCCACCGCCGTCGCAAACGGCGGCGTTGGCGACACCGACTGCTGCGGCATCGAATGATCGGAAACGTAAAGGAAGAGAAACGAACGATGGGGATGGTCAGAATGAGGTGAGCAGTTAATTTGTTGTTTTCTTCCTTTGTAATTCCCAATTACTCGCACCTGTACCTGTCTATATCGGGTGCTGTCGTTTTTCGTGGCTCGCAAGAATATCTAACTTACGGTGCATTTTAGCCTTAGGATGGATTTTCTCATTGGCCACGTCATCTGCTTATGCTTGACAGGCTCCGAGCCCATTATTTGTGGCTATGGTTCATTTGGGTGTCATAGTCCATGACACGTGTCTAATCACTAAACCAAAAAAATGTTTTATAGCATCTACCATCTAGGTTGGTGTTTGCCGTCAATATTTCGTTGAAAGTGAAAAAAGGTACTTGTTCTTCAAAAAAATCTTTGAATATTTTAAGTACTTCTAAAATGCTAGTTCCTCGTACCAACTTATGTGGTGCGATTTAATTGGGCATCCAATTTAAAAAAGAAATACAGTAATTATTTTAAAATTTGTGATATAAATCAAGTTTTAAATATTTATAATTTTAAATATGAAAAATGATACTCCATCCGTTTCAATTTATGTGAACTTATTTCATTTTTGGTTCATTCCAAAAAAGAATGACTCCTTTATACATTTGAAAATAATTTAGTTTAAACATTCAATTCTACGCTTTTATAATCACACAAATACTCTAGGTCCCATTTTGACTTGTTTAGGATTACAAATTCCAAAAAAAATTATTTTTTTAAACTTTGTGTTCAATCAAACACGTTCACATAAATTGGAACAAAGGGAGTATTCATTTTAAACATAGCAAAAAAAAGAAAAATGCATCCTAGAATTGGGTATTACTCCCTCCGTTTTAATTTATGTAAACATATTTCTTTTTTAGTCTGTGCCAAAAAGAATGACTTCTTTCCTTATTTAAAAATAATTTACTTTTATGCAATGATTTATAGCCACACAATACACTACAAGTTCAAAAGTCTTCTCTCTTTTCTTAAATTTCGTGCTCAGTCAAATGGATTCACATAAATTGAAACGGAAGGAGTATTTGTTTGCTAAATAGGTGACAGTGCACCTCCAGATTTTTTTTTCATTTTAAGCGTAAAGTCACGGGACTGTTTGGACTGTTGTTCCACTTTGTCCCATTGTCTGTGTTAATCATGGAACAGGGAGGCTTCAGAGGGGGCTGTACCTGAATGTGAATGTTTCCTTGAAATCAGCCTAACCCTATGGTGTGCTGACCGTTTGGTGACCCAGCAGTCGCAATAATTAAAATCCCAGTTTCACGAGTACCAAGATACTAGTACGTAAATAAAAGGAATCTTTAATAACCTTCTTAAACTATTTTACGTCTTCTTTTCCACACCTTCACCTTGGGGTCTAATGGCTAATTATAAGATAAGGTTTAATTTAATACAGCAGCGCTGCAAATAGTTAAGTAGTATCATCTAATGAATAAAGTTTGTTTGACAAGTAAGGTAAAATTAGTCCTCCCACAAGGGACTTGGAATAGTTGGGGGCAAATAGTTGGGGGCAGCTTGGAAAAGAATTACTCCATACTCTAATGACTAAGCAAAGGAAAGTTGTGAACTAGTTGCCTCGGAATTCCTTGTCTGCTGGAATAATATAGCACGGTTAGCTGTATACTTCCTCGGTTTCAATTTTGAGTGATGTAGTTTGATTGGGTATAAAATTTAAAAAAGAAAGGAAGACATGAAACTTGTGGTTTTAACATGTCATACGTATTTATTTAGCTATAGGACTTTTAAAATTTATGATTTTAAACATACCATAATACTATTTGTTTGGATATAATGAAAAGTTTAATTATTTTTAAATTTAAAAATATATTATTCTTTTTTAACTGAATAATAAGGAGATAATCATTATATTTGGAGCGGAGGGAGCACTTAATTTCTTCATGTTTCATATTACAAATCACAGCGGTGGTAGTTTGGTCGAATGAGGCAACTTTGAGCGGACAGAGTAGAACTTCCTTTGCAACCGAATTGATCTGACTTCTGCCCAAAGTAATAGAAATTCATTTATTTTTCAACTCTCTTTGAACTTTCTTAGCTCTCTTTGAACTTTGAAATGTCTGAAAGTACCTCAGTAGGATTGCATAACTGTTTTAACAAGATACCTCATCAGTTCCATAATCAGTACATCTGGTGAAGCTCACTTCAGAGCTCCTTTTCCTGATTCTAGATTGTATAGAGTGTACTAAGTTGTACCAGGCGAACCTGTAAAGAACTATTTTTTTTCCCTTTGACAGAGTAACAAATTTGTTCCAAGAAGACTCGTAGCATTTTTCTGGATGTATTAATAACATTGATTTCTCACTTTATCCTCTCTTTATTGCTTCGGTGTATTACTTAGCAGCTTTAGTGACACTTGATTAGATTCTAGAGAATGATACAATGAGTAATTGGTAAAATTGATTATTTTCCCAGAAAAAACAAATGAAGTTGATTAAAGAGAAAAAGTGTGATTTATTGAAGTTAAAACACTTTCTGAGGTTAGCGACTACTGGGAGCAAAGGAGAACTCATGAATGCCAAGAAAATGCATGGTGTTTTGGAATATAACTGTAATAACTACAAGGAGGAGGTAGAAAGAACTTTTCAAAAAAAGTTGTGGGGGTCGAGGTACACTGGCAATAGCTGGCCCACTTTTACCTTCTCTCTTCCCGGGAGAGCATATGTGATCTTATTTTTTGAGAGATCACGGTAAACATTTCTGTGATTGTTAACTCAGACATTTGTGATGCCTTGTCTTGCGGGAGAAAGACAAGAAATACTGAAAGTTGAGAACAAATTCTTCCTTTTGAGAACAAATTCTTCCTTTCTGTTGAGTTTACCCCATCATATATAACTGCAAACCTCTGAAGCAGACCAGATGTTCCGATCACTCTTATTTTTGAACATTTGAGTCTGCTTCAAGTATTTTCTTTGATAGATTTATGATGACCCGATTTTGCTGTTAATGCTTCATTAACTTATATCTCAACTGCACTAGGAGGCTGAATTTGAGTCTGGTGATACAAAGAAGCATGCTCGTGGTTCAACATCTACAAAGCGATCTCGTGCTGCAGAGGTCCATAATCTTTCGGAAAGGGTAAGTATTGTGGAATTGTTTATTTGAGGGTGTTGATAATTCAACTGCTTTTTCTTGTTTGACTATTTAATCAACACGCCAATGCACCAATCACCACAGAGACGTCGAGACAGAATAAATGAGAAGATGAGGGCTCTGCAGGAACTGATACCACGCTGTAACAAGGTTTGACCTTTTCTTTGAATTGTCTAGAATGTCTTGAACAGATAGTTTACTGTCCTCTTAATATATTTAAGTTAATCTTTTGTTGAATTTCAGACAGACAAAGCTTCAATGCTGGATGAGGCAATTGAGTATTTGAAATCACTGCAATTGCAAGTGCAGGTATATTTGTTAACATTCTTCTCCGTGTATTGCCTCTTGACACCTCCCAACCCTTTTTTGTTCGATTTCTTAATAGTAAAGGAATTTGACAGTCCTTGCTGAAGAGGGAATAATTTGTTATAGTCCTAAAAGAAAATTGACGCTTAACCACCAGGAAATTGGATGATTTTACACCTCAAGAACCTCATTCTCTTATTACTTGCATCTTAAATGTGAATAATAGAAAGTCAAGATGTTACTAGTAATATCTAAAGCTTATTTACTGTAAATATTAGTGCATTTTTGGTTGCAAGTCGCTAGTCGTTGCTTTATGGTTTATGTATGGTCAAATACTTTTTTTCTCCATTATGCTAAGTTATAATTATGTTGTCAGCATTGTGTATTCAAACTATAGCCTTTCTTTTATAGCACACTTTTTCTTGTTTATCGTATTACTAGGAAGTAGTAATTGTAACTAGATTATTGAGAGTCAATCAGAATATCCTTATTTCGCAGCGCAACGCATTCACAAGTACAGTACATGTGACAAAGTCAAATGGAGCAATCGTACGAGATCTAAGAAATATAGAATCTGAATTACCAGCATTTGTAATTCATGTAGCAGTACATGGACACTTTTTATCAGTAGCAGTATGTGGATAACTCTAATTCAGTTTTTGGATATTGCCTAAATTTTAAGAACTTGCATGCTAGTCAAGTACTACAGCCTTAGTCTGTTTCCTACTTGTACTGTCCTAAATGAAAAATCAAAACTCGTCTTCTCTTTTCTTCAGCACCAGATTTTTGTAAAAGTGAAACCTATTACCCATGCCTTCCTTATGCATCAAATTACATTACATTTTTCATATACTTTATGTATTTATGTGCATATATGTGCACATACACGAACCACCGGTGCGCACGTGTGTTCCCTTATGTTATTCTAAGTATGAAATTATTTGTTTCTGTGTGGTATAACTTATTTAAATGTAGTTGCGAGCGCTGCTTGTGGTTTGATTACGGACTTGTATGGCTATAACTCCGATTCTGTATTTTCATTTTATGCTGTTGATTCCAAAATTGTAATGTACACAGTACACGGTATATTAATGTTCACTATATATCCGCTTACTATTTAGTTTCCAACAATTTATTGCTAAGAGATTGCACTTGCTATGGTTGGAGGAGGAAAATAGAATTTTAATCCACGAAGATGTGGCCTTTTTATATTAAACTCTCATGCTTTATGTGCTAATGTTTTCAGTGTCTAGATTAATTAAGTTAATTCTATGACTCATGTTATTATCCTGGTCTTCTTTTTCTTCTTCGTCGTTTTCTATCTATAAGATTGACAAAAGTCGATTGTTGACCTACTGAGGGAAGGGCTAACTGAATTGGGGCTCATGCTTTATTTGCTAAACTTTTCAGTATCTAGATTAATTAAGTTAATTCTACGACCCATGTTGTTATTATCCAGGTCTTCTTCATCATCTTCTATCTGTAAGATTGGCAAAATCTGGAAGTTGACTTACTAAGGGCAGGGCTAACCAAACTGGGCCACTCTAGGTCATTCACTGCTTTTCCTCAAAAACTGTTTGATAGAATCCTGTTGGGCTCCATTCTGGTGTTAATTCTTCCGCACTTCCATTAATTGCTCAGAAAGAGCGGTTCACCTTGTAAAAGTTTTTTTTTCCTTTGTGGAAATTAAGTACTCCTTGTTAATCAAATCCTACTCTGTGTGGAGCTGACTGGTTAATTTAGTTGTAGCACACTCTTGATTTAAATTCCATGAAAGGTGCTGAAATGTTATTACTGAATTTTAGTTGGACTTGAATGGAAAGCTTAACACCGTTGCTGGAACAAGAAACCTATGTCATTCAGCTTAGTATATTTTAATACATAGAAAAAATAGATCAATGCACAATATCTTCCAGCGTTACATCGTGAACACTAAAAGTTCTCCCCTCATATTCTCACTGCCTTCTCCTGTTCTAGAAGTGGCATTCATTGCTAAAAATAAGGTTCATCCTTCTCCTTATTGACCTGCATCTTCAGCTCGCAGTTGGTCTGAGCTGATTTACAATGTTCAGCGTCAAGGAAATAATTTCTAAACCTATCTCTGGTTGTGTAATATGCATGCTGAAGCTAGCTGGTGATACAGTCCTGCTTGTTTATCTTAAAAAAGAATTTGTAGTCGAATCAAAACATAGTTTGATCATATCTGCTTGTCTGCAGATGATGTCCATGGGATGCGGCATGGTCCCGATGATGTATCCTGGAATGCAGCAGTACATGCCAGCTATGGGAATGGGCATGGGTATGGGAATGGGTATGGAGATTGGCATGAACAGGCCAATGGTGCCGTATCCACCTCTATTGCCGGGTGCAGCGATGCAGAATGCAGCTGCAGCAGCACGAATGGGTCCTAGATTTCCTATGCCGCCGTTTCATTTGCCACCAGTTCCAGTACCAGATCCTTCCAGGATGCAAGCCTCAAGTCAGCAAGATCCAATGCTACATCCACTTGTAGCACATAATCCCAACCAGCCAAGACTTCCGAATTTTAATGATCCATATCAACAGTTTTTTGGTCTCCACCAGGCACAAGTGCAATTACCACAGGCAAGTCCTTCCTCTTCTACTTGGTTCGTAGTTCATTTATTATCATGCCGACTATGTTCATGTAGAAACCAGTCGACCACCATCGAAAAGTCTAGTTGTTGCATATGGTGATGACAATGTCCATTGTAGAAACCACCAGCTACAAATCCACTCATTGCATCTTGCAATGAGGAATTACTTTCACCATGGTCATAGGTCAATTGCTCTTAGAATATTTTATTGCTAGATTGAACTTCTATAATCTTGCCAAAACGAGTTTTATTAAGTGAATACCTATCGGATGGATGCAGCTTGGAGCCATCCACCAGAGCCTGTTAATTCATGTTTTCCTTTTGATATGCTCCTTATGTTTTCCCTAATGATCTCACCTGTCATGTCTAACGCTTAGCTTTTAAATGCAGAATCAGGCAGTAGAACAGCAGGGTAACAATAAACCCGGCAGCAGGAAAGAAGTTGGAAATCCAGGGAGTCCTCAATCTGGTAAGCTATCATTCAAATTCTATAGCTCTTATATATACCACAGTGGGGTGGTTCATATGCAACAAACTAAGGAGATGAAACTAGAAAAAAATTGCTCGACACTGTCATAGTGCCAAAAAATGCATTCTACACGATTGTTGATGGGTTTATCTTCTGATATATGGGTTTAGCAACAAGTAAGGATAGAACTCAATTGTTCTTTGGCATTGAGAATAATATATTGGTTCAAGTGGATATTCCTGCAGTATTTCAATGGCCTACATACTGACTTTATTCACTACTTATTTATTTGCAGGTTGATTACCTTGGGGCCAGAACGTAAGAGCTTCTCACAAACTAAATTTTGTAGTGTAAGAGGAACATCCACTGCAGTCTGCACCGGCTGGCTGATACAAAATATAGCACCACTAACTTGTAATTATTACTACAGAACTCATTTTGCTTTATATATTGTGGCCCATGAAATCTCATTCCCATTTTAGCATTTGGATATAATTTGTGGCCAGCGTTTAACATCACAAGTGATCCGGCATAAGGAAGATGTTCAGCCGGTGAAGGGGCTTTAAGCATTTCCAGGCTTCACCCCAAATTTTATGTGCGTGCTGCCCCTTTTAACTGCTGCAGACATTGATAAAGATAAACATATTTATGATAATCTCACTCTGGTACACAAAAATGAGGTACGCATCAGCTGCATTGCTTGATATATTCTCTCTCTACTTTTCTGTGACATAACAACTACTACCTTGCAAAAATAAGGTAAGACGAACCACACTCGTTAAGCACAAATCATTTCCGCTAGATACTTCGGATCATCATTTTAAGTTAGGGTGCAAATCAATAGACGCTATCCCATTAATTCACTTCGACAACTCCATTTTATTGCCCGCGTGCATGAGGTATTCTGGGGTAATTTTGTTTATCCGAAAAACGGATAGAGTTGAATTTGTACGTAGTTCTAAGGTTACGTGGTATAGCTTAATACA